CTACACGCACACAAAAGGCTACAGTGTATGTAATACTCTCCGTGGTTTTTGAAGTAATTGTCAAAGCTATAATATTGTAATTTAAAAATATGTGGCTTATTAGCTTAGTTGCTTAGTTGTTTAGTGTATCGTGTTAATAATGTGAATGTTGTAGGTTCAAGACTTGTATGAGCCAATTTATTTTTATAAATGTTGTAGACCCAACTTATTTAGTTCATATTTTTAGAAATGTTGTAGAGCCAACTTATTTAATTACGTTCATTATTACGGTATGTTATATCAGCTATCAGTCGAACCTAGCTCATCGATCACAAATTTGTACATAATATTTTGAACCATGATCCATAATGCATAAGTATGTTAGCCGACAAAGGACCAATGCCAAATAATATAATAGTTGATAAATAATTACAAGAAGCTAAGATAAATCAAGCGCTTATATATGATGCATCTCCAAATGGCAAAAAGTGACAAGCAATATAGTTGTTGAGTGCACTTGAAAGTTGAAACAGTATCCAACAACAAGAATATCATTATCCTCCACAGAAGTAGACACTGTATTCATTCACTTTAATTGGACGCAGCATCTCTAGAATGTTCGTTTGGTTGACAAACGACAACATATATAAGAATAATGCTGGCATGGCCAGCTTTTAGTGGCTGTCCATTTGCTGTATTGGTAAGGCCAACATCTCCCATAATTTATATTAGAGCAAATTACACTTTTGGTCCTGTGACTATAGAGGGTGTGTTAATTTGGGTACGTGACTTTTAAAACTGACAATTTAGTCCTTTAACTATCATTTTTTAACAGATTTGGTCCTCCCGGCCAAATTGCCGGTGGAATTTGGCCTGAAAGACGTTCGACTTTTTAAATCAAATATTGGTGGGGGTAATTCGGTTCAACAATTAAAAAGACCGAATTACCCTGACCAATATTTGATTTAAAAAGTCGAATGTCTTTCCGGCCAAATTCCACTGGCAATTTAGCCGGGAGGACCAAATCTGCTAAAAAAATGATAGTTAAAGGACTAAATTGTTAATTTTAAAAGTCACGTACCCAAATTAACACACCCTCTATAGTCACAGGACCAAAAGTGTAATTTACTCTTTATATTATAATATTATTTATGTTCAAAAATAAATGTCTAATATTAATACTCCGTAATTAATAATTTATATTAACATCTTAAAATTATTTATATTCTACATATGTATATTATAATTATTATTGTATAATACGTAGTAATATTAATATAAATCATTTATATAAATATGATATTTATATTTAGGAAATAACTTATATAGTACTCAATGCATAATGTATATATATTATTACCATCGAAGAAGATAAGAAAATATACGGTGTAAATATGCATGTACATGGTAATAATAATTGAAAAAATAATGAAAGTTATAACTGTATGGGTACTTCTTTTTTTTTTTTTTTTTTTTTACTAAAATATTGTATAGTACAATTCTTATAGCATAATGTATAAAAAAGTAACAAAAAAAAAAAACAGACATAAATAAAGGGTATAACATTTATTTATACTTATTAGTTTTTATTATTACTAGTATAGTATTTCATATGCGCATGCGTAAAAATATGTGTTCAATATTAGTTTTATATTAAAATCTTAGATTTATTTATATTTTATATATTTATATTATTGTAAATAATAATAATAATAATAATAATAATAATAATAATAATAATAATAATAATAATAATAATAATAATAATAATAATAATAATAATGATGATGATGATGATGTAAAACGTTTTTATACTACAATATATAATGTGTATATATTATTGTTATTATTATTGAATAAAATAAGAAAATATATGATGGATGTATGTGCATAGCAATAATAGTATAAAACATAACAAAAGTTATAACAGTAGACATGTTTATTCAACATATTATATAGTACACAACTCGTATAGTATAATATATATTAAAAAAATGTAACGGAAAAACGAACATGTATGAAGGGTATAACATTTCATTCACACTTTTTAGTTTTTATTTATTAGATTTTTAAATAAAAAAAATTTATACAACATCAAATAATAAAAATATCAATTACGATATATAAAACAACACTCAACACGTTTTATTAAATATATTGATGAGTACTGGTTATCGTAATCTAAGATTAAATATTCGCATAATTCAATGATAATGTTGCAATGACATTGTCTTAAACTTAACAATGATTTGAGTACATATAGTGATATATACAATGACAAAATGGTACAGTCAATGGTCTTTATCGAAGTCCTGCTTCCAGGCAAAAACTTTGTACTCCGTACTAATCTTGAAAATCTTTTCTTGTCCCACAGCAGTGGAATGTATTCGCCGCGGGCCGGCAAATGAATAAACAATTTGATACGAAGCATTGTTTATTGCTTGTTTTTATAAGTTTTCTTGATTCTATGTCTGGAAAATTAATATATATCTTGTAATTTTTATTTTAAGTGATGAAATGTGAGAGGAATAAATACCTTTTCTTGAGTGATGAGGAAAATATATGGTTTAAGGAGAAAGCATGTAGTCATCATTAGAATGTGTATTTTAAATGGAGTTTGCATTGTGATCCTAACCGACAAAAGACCACAAGGAGGTAAAGTAATATAAATTGTGTATAGTTAAACGGTTTAAACTAAGGGTCCGTTTGGAAACCAGGAAAATGACTTCTGGAAAATGTTTTCTGGAAAATGAGTCATTTTCCGGAAAACATTTTCCTTTCCGGTGTTTGGTTGCATTCTGGAAAACTGTTTTTGTGTGTTTGGTTCATTTTCTGGAAAATGAGTAGAATTGTATAATTAAACATTTTAATTATTTTATTTAGAATATTACAACATGTATAATAATATATAATAATATAATATTAATTTTAAATATAATAAAAAATAGCTAAGTTTTTCAACAAAAAAAAAAACTAATAATATATCAAAAATATTATGGTGGTGGTGGTGGTGTAGTGGTAGTGGTGTTATTCGTTATATAATAATAATAATAATAATAATAATAATAATAATAATAATAATAATAATAATAATAATAATAATAATTGGTGGTGGTGTGATGGTGGTGGTAGTATGACGATGGTGTGGTGGTGGTGGTGGTGGCGGCGACGGTGGTATGGTGGTGGCGGCGGCGGCGGTGGTATGGTGGTAGTGGTGGCGGCGACGGTGGTTGCAGTGGTATGGTGGTGGTAGTGGTGGTGGTGGTTGCGGTGGTATGGTGGTGGTGGTGGCGGTGGCGGCGGTGGTGTGGTGGTGGTGGCGGTGGTATGGTGGTGGTGGCGGTGGCGGCGGTGGTGTGGTAGTGGTGGCGGTGGTATGGTGGTGGTGGCGGCGGCGGTGGTATGACGGTAGTGGTGGCGGCGACGGTGGTTGCGGTGGTATGGTGGTGGTGGCGGCGGCGGTGGTTGCGGTGGTATGGTAGTGGTGGTGGCGGTGGTGGCGGTGGCGGTGGTGTGGTGGTGGCGGCGGTGGTATGGTGGTGGTGGCGGCGGCGGTGGTATGACGGTAGTGGTGGTGGCGGCGGCGGTGGTATGACGGTAGTGGTGGCTGCGACGGTGGTTGCGGTGGTATGGTGGTGGCGGCGGCGGCGGTGGGTGCGATGGTATGGTGGTGGTGGGGGCGGTGGTATGGTGGTGATGGCGGCGACGGTGGTTGCGGTGGTATGGTGGTAGTGGCGGCGACGGTAGTGGTGGCGACGGTGGTTGCGGTGGTATGGTGGTAGTGGCGGCGACGGTAGTGGTGGCGACGGTGGTTGCGGTGGTATGGTGGTAGTGGTGGCGGCGGCGGTGGTGTGATGGTGGTGGTGTGACAACGGTGGTATGGTGGTGGTGGTGGCGGTGGTATGGTGGAGATGGCGGCGACGGTGGTATGTTGGTAGTGGTGGTGGTGGTGGTATGGTGTTGATGATGTTGGTGTAAAAGTTGGAAAATGACTTCCCCCAAAAAAAAGGGGAAGTCATTTTCCATAAAATTGCCTTCCTTTTCCATTGACTTCCACCCCATTTTCCTTTGACCAGTCATTTTCCAATGTAACCAAACACCAAAACCCCGGAAAATGACTTCCAGAAGTCATTTTCCGGGTTTCCAAACACACCCTAAAAAGACCAATAGACAAGTCTCACATGAAGTCAAACTTAGAACATTGTGGTTACCAAACTAATGTCCAACTAACTTGGTTGGGTTATCCCAGGACGAGAGAAAACCTGAAGTCTACCCAATGGTGTGTGTAATGAGTAAACATTGTTCATAAGTAATAATTCAAAAACTACACATGAAAGGTCGAGTCAATCCGTTCTGGTCAAGAGTCCGGTCAAAGGTCAACTAGTCAATGCTTGGGCCTATAAATAGGGCCTTAGTCCTCCATTTTGGGTTGCTTCTCTCCCTTTCTACTACACACTCTCTCTAGTTAGAACTCTCCCCCTTCCCTCTAGAAAACACAAGAACATATAAAAGATCCCTTTGAGCTACTTTCTCTTGTCTATTCTCTTACATTGTTCATACATACATTACTCTACATACATACGGTATACACTCTACATACACGAAAATTAACATCACATTAGAAATATGTAATGCGACAAAATCGATTAATAATATGTTAATAAAAATTAAATGTGTGGCTTTTTAATACAAAAATGGTGTTGCATGCACTGATCATTCAGTGATCCTGTTAAGCACAAGTAATACTTTTTTTTTTTTTTAGGTGTAATCACCACGTGATGGTCCGGATCTTTCTCTGTCTGTTTAACGGTTCAAATTTACCCAATTAATCTTTGTTTATTCCGAAAGTCTAGGAGTTAGACCAAAAAAAATTGTCACTTGTAGGAATCAACCTAATTTATCCCGAAATTCTCTCCACGAATACTTTTTTTTATTACAAGAAATGGGGATACCCATACAAACTACGCCTACAACGAGGCTTGAAACCTAAACCTCCCACATAGGGGAGCAATTCGATACTTTTTAAGATTAAGGTGGACATTTTCTAACTAACAAATTTGTGTAAAAATAGGAATTTACCAAAATGGTAATAGACCAAAAAGGGAAACTATTTTGAACAAAACAAACGGCGTCAGTGCGTCAGCGTCACTAATCACTATGTGGGTTGTGCACGTTAGCACACGCGGCCTAAGTTAGAGACAAGCGCTACCGCGGTTGAGAGGGGCTGGAAGTTAAGTTCGAAGTATATATATAAAGCTGGATGCATCGGTGCTAAGAACTCTAGAAGCCTCCATAGCCTTAATTCTCAAGTCAAACAAACTTAGGTTTATCACTCCCCCTAACTGATATATCTAGAGAGAGTTGATCGGAGATGGCGAGGCCGCGGTGCTTTCTGGATATAAGCATCGGAGGGGAGCTGGAAGGGAGGATCGTTGTGGAGCTTTACAATGATGTGGTTCCCAAAACCGCCGAGAATTTCAGAGCTCTTTGCACTGGCGAGAAAGGCATTGGTCCTAACACCGGCGTTCCCCTCCATTACAAGGTAAATCTCGTATCTCTGTATTTCTGAATTCCTATGTGTTTTTATCTATACGTAATGAATGAAAGGTTGTTGACTCATGCCTTGTGAATGGAAGTTCGGACTACTTAAGTTGTTGATTTGGTTTGGAAATTCATCTTCATAAACAGATCATGATTGTTCGATTGCGATCATGTTTTCTACTACGATATAAAGGCGGGAAAGAGTGGTATTCTAATTTATAATAACTTGTACTTTGTTTTAATCATTTGGAAGTGTAACCGGTTCTGCTTAGCGCTCTTTGTCCATATAGATGATTGATTTATATTATTGTTCATGTTGAGAATTTGAAATCAGTTAGATATTTCTACTGTGCTCTTAATTGATAGTGTTTTTCGAGTTTTTCCTTGACGTTAATGGAGTCTCCTCAGCCTTCGCCATTGACTGTAACTTCAACTGAAGCTGTAAAACATTTTTCGGATCTCCATATATACTGGTAAAATGAAGTTTGGTATATTCTAGCACCAATCTATTTTATCCTTGCAGGGAGTCCGTTTTCATCGTGTTATTAAGAGCTTCATGATACAAGGAGGTGACATTTCTGCTGGGGATGGTACCGGAGGAGAATCCATTTATGGACTAAAATTTGAGGATGAAAATTTCGAGTTGAAGCATGAGAGAAAGGGGATGTTATCCATGGCTAATGCTGGACCAAACACAAATGGATCTCAATTTTTTATCACAACCACTCGCACTGCTCATCTTGATGGAAAGCATGTTGTATTCGGGAAGGTAATAAAGGGAATGGGAGTTGTTCGTTCTATCGAGCATGTCCAGACAGGTGAAAATGATTGCCCTACTGCCGATGTTATTATCGCTGATTGTGGAGAAATTCCGGAGGGAGAAGATGATGGAATTGCAAACTTTTTCAATGATGGTGATATGTATCCTGATTGGCCAGCTGACCTTGCTGAAAATCACACTGAGCTCTCTTGGTGGGTGGCTGCTGTTGAGTCAATCAAGGCATTTGGTAATGAACATTTTAAGGTATTAATAACTAAACAAACGATATTCAATTGTTGCACATCGTAACATTTGATTTCTTTTTGCACATAAACTTTACTTAGCATTAGTAATTTGAAAACTTTGCTTTTTTCCAGAAGCAAGACTATAAGATGGCTCTTAGAAAGTATCGAAAAGCTTTGCATTATTTGGATGTCTGTTGGGAAAAGGAAGGGATTGATGAAGGTAAAAGTAGTTGTGTTCCCTTACCTTTCAGATATATGGAAAATTCTACCATAAAATTTAGATAGATATACCAAAAGCTAACTTATAGTATTAGTACCAAACTAAATAGTATATAAGAGTACCAAAATGAAAAACATATTACTGAAAGTTGTTGCAACAAAAACTTTTGGTACAGTATTTCAGATGTACTATACAATTTCCCTAGTAATGCGGTTGACAATCTGATCACTTTATATAGATACTGTCTGAGTGGCTGTTTTCCTTTATGCAGACAAGAGTCTGTATTTGAGAAAGATTAAGTCACAGATATTCACTAACACTTCGGTAAGCTCCTATTATCTGTTTGATCATTTTTACCTGTCTTGTTTTCCTGCTTTAACAGATTGACTAACAAAAAGGTTGATATTCACGCCTAAATGCCTTTTTTTATGATTAAACTTTTTACTTCAAATTCTTTTGCTTCACGTTTACAAATTTTCCATTTTCACTTCCTTTAGTTATCAGCTATGCTATGTTATTGAGTAAAACACTTACAGCTTAATGGGTTTGAATCTTGAAATATTCATTGAGTTCTTCCTATGACCACTATATACATAAGACTTTTCTTTCTTCAGGCTTGTAAACTGAAATTGGGAGATTTAAAGGGAGCACTCTTGGAAGCTGACTTTGCAATGCGAGATGGAGAGAACAATGCAAAAGCTCTATTTCGCCAGGGTCAGGTTAGTTCTTTAATAAAGATGAATGTTAGATGTTTTAGCTTTGTAATCTTAATTTACCTGCAATTTATGCTGTATTTTCCCTTGGGAGTGGGGGTGGCTTTGGTATATTGGCTATGTTTAGCAGAGCTTATTTAGGAGCTTATAGCTTATTTTAGTATACAACTATTCAATATACTTCTGAGAGGTCTAACAGTTCTGATCACTGACTTTATCAGGCACACATGGCTCTCAATGACATAGATGCTGCATTTGAAAGTTTTAAGAAAGCACTTGAATTGGAGCCAAATGATGGTTAGTATCTTTCTCTTATTTTTCTATGATATGACCTTTTTTCCTTATTATTATTTTTTTTGGTATTCTAATCAGATGGTTTGAAATGAGGTTGTTGAATGCGTTGAGTTTTCCAAATTAGCTTCTAGATCCTCTGACTTGCCAATGGCTGGCTTCTTTCAGGTGGAATTAGAAAGGAACTTACTGCTGCAAAGAAAAAGGTAAACATATGACCTTGAATTTGAGTTTAATAACAGGATATCCAAAATGCTAATGCACTTTAATTTATGTGACAGATTGCTGATAGACGTGATCAGGAGAAAAAAGCATATGCTAAGATGTTCAAAAAAATTTGAGGTAACTTTATTTTACATTTCGATTTCTACTGGCCATTTAATATTTGCTCAGAGATTCTGACAATCAAATGTGTCTTTGCACAGAACTGGTTCGTGTGACTTCTTTTTTTTTTTTTTTTTTTAAAGCAAACGGCAAACTTGTATTAAGTTATAGGAAAGAGCATTACAAATGAAAGAGGGTGGGAAAGAGCATTACAAATGAAAGGGGAGGGGCAGAAGACCACTCCTGCTGCTTTGTTAATTTGCTTTTTTACAGGTTCCTTGGAAGAATAATGAATACTTGCTTGCAGAATTATAATAGTACAAAATTAATTCCTGGGCCAACTTGTGTTCCTTATTTATTCTATTTTCAATTGACCGTACATTCAATCAGAAGACAGCTCCCTTCATTCCCTTGCTTTGGTTTTGGTCTCGTCATATATTTTCTTAATAATTGCGAATTGTGTCCAAAGGAGTCGCGTGCTTTGACCGTTCATTATGGATGAACATTTGAACAAAATATTAGTGATTTGATTCAATCAAAAAATTAATATTTGATGACCAGGGCTTTCTATTAGCATTATACACTCAAAATATCAATTTTAAATTATTAATAATGAATAAAATAATTAAATAAAAATATTTAAAATATTATAATTATAAAATAAATGTATTTTTATTTCTTTGTTAAAATTTGAACATAAAAATTAATTGATTAATGAAAATTATAATGTAACTTATAAAATGTTAATCTAAGAAAATAATTAAATAAAAACTATTCAAAATATTATAAACTAAACGAAAATAATTTTTTTTTTATTTCTTCGTTAAAATTTCTACATAAAAATTAACTGATCAATGTAATTATAATGTAATTAATAAAATGTTAAATCTATGAAAATAATTAAATAAAAAATTTAAAATATTATAAAATAAATGAAAATAAACCTACTCGTATTTCTTCGTTAAAATTTCTACACAAAAATTAATTGATCAATGTAATTAATAAAATGTTAATCTATGAAAATAATTAAATAAAAAAATTTAAAATATTATAAAATAAATCTACCTGCATTTCTTCGTCAAAATTTCTACATAAAAAGATTTAAAATATTATAAAATAAATGAAAATAAATCTACTCGTATTTCTTCGTTAAAATTTCTACATAAAAACTAATTTATTAATGTAATTAATAAAATGTTATTATATTACTACAATAAACAACTAATTTTACTAAACATCCACCCACATAATTAATTTGTATTTTACTAATGTACTTTAATAAATAAATAGTTTATTTTTGTAAGAAAATACTTTTATAATAAAGATGTTACCAAAAAGATCCCATTTATATAAATTATATAAAGATATGCGTACCTGATGGCTGATGCGATAGATGCGAATGCTTAACAGGTCCATCCAAATTGAGTTTATGAAGGTGAACAAGTCTTGGGAGTGAAGGGAGAGTTACGCGTATTGAATTTACAATATAATAATGTGAACAACATAGAATAAGGGATCGGATCACTAAATTATAAAGTAAAACCCACACAAGAGTTTCTACAATCAGAGACAGATGGAAGCCAAATTGGTCACACTTAATTGTAAATGGGTTTCTTGTAATGCCATCCAAATACATGCACAACTCAAAACCATTGAAAGCTGAAAAGTTGGAAGAATATTTCCCCAAAAAAAAAACAAAAGGCAAAAAGAAGAAAGGATTAGACTCAGATTTACCAATTCAGAATTGTAGACTAAGAGTTGTAGTCATCAAGTCCAAGATCTCTTAGTGCATCAGTGGCAGCATCTTTGCAGCTTCTGTGGTTTGACTTAGCCTTCCTGATGAGCTTCTCAATACCATTGCCAAGCAGAAGTGCTCTGCAAAATTGAAACATAAGAATTCCAATAAAGCCTTAAGCCGATAAACTGACCTCAGAACCAATTCTTTTCCTCATGTTGGACTTGTCCCACCTTCCCTTATTAGACAGATATAGAACATTTTTATTAAGGGGACAGACTTGCCTGTTCTCAGGATTTCTGACCACAAGATTACGGATCATGAAACAAGCGCTCCTTTGCAGTTGCTCTGATTCAGGAAATCTATTCATGGAATGGATAGCAAGGTCACCAGCTCCAGCTTCTATAGCCCGAGCTGCTTTATCTGGGGATCTCAAGGATAGCACACAAATAATAGACATGATCTGTAACAAGAAAAGATTGATTACAACATGTCAAAATACTTGAAAGCATTTAGCAATTAATTGAATTTTGTACTACTCCAATTTTGGAAGTATGCATCCATGTAAATCATTACCTCTTGAAGTACCGAAGGATCATCAGAAAATAGTGTTGAAATTTTAATAAGCCTATCCATGCCTCTCTTCTCAACTATAGCACCTTTGTTTACATCACTTCCTGCCAACTAGACAAGTACAACAAATTAGATGAGCTTCAATGTTTCAAAGTAATTTAATTGGCCAGACAGTTGTGGCATCCAAATAAAGATAAGCAAACATGCAACAGTTGCCCATATATATATCACTTAGAAACAAGAGTTTGAAAATATTTTCGCAAGGCAGCGAATACATACAAGCTTGATTGCATAATGAGGATACTCAAAATGGTATACAGTTTCAAATGGAACAAAAGAGGGGTGGGTTCTTATTCACAAATTTCTGATCATAAGCTCTGAGCAACTAATATGTTCACAAGAAGTTGTAACCAAGCTTAGCACCTTAGATAACAAAGAACAGCAAGTTTTTGCTAAGGCATTGTTTCCGTGTTGACCACTTTCATCAATACAACAAAGAATTGCATCTATACCACCAATATCAGCAACAGTTCTGCATATTTCATCCTGAAAACAGAAGCAGGAGCAGATGACAAATTAATGGCAACAATGCAATAGAATTTCTTGAAATATCTTGAAAGACAATGAAAGTCATTCATGATTCGTGCATAGAGCCAGAGGCGAGTTTTATGATGTAGTGATTACAGAAGCATGAGCTTACATTAACAGCAATGGCTTTCAAAGCATTGCAGGCTGACATTAGACTGGGAGTCCTAATCCCTTGATTGAGAGATCCCACAAGTGCTTCAACAATTCCAGTCTTTGCAAATCTCCGAGCATACCCAAAAACCTAAAATGGATAATGAATCTCAACAATTAAACAAACAAAATGAACTACACTCACAATCTTATTCTATTTCTCCACTTTCAGGACCTATCCTGAAGGGTTGACTTCCAGTTTTAATTCCAGCCACTTATGTCTATAAAATGGAGTAAAAATCTTGCATAGAACTAGAAATATAGATGAGCACTCATTTTACTTACTTGAGAAGCTACAACACGATTATCATCAGATGTTAACAGGACTTGTATAGCATCATATAAACAAGGAATGCTCCCACTGCTGTGTTCTCTTAGACACTGAACAATGAGCTCATCAATTTTCAGGTCCATAAACGATGCTTTGAGAACCTCATTACCAGTTGCAGCTGCCGCGACAACAGAAAATCCATTATCCAAAATATTTACATCCTCGCTTTTATCCTTTAGGATACCAACAACTGCTTTTGGTCCACCACTCTCCCTAAACATTTCTGTGCTTTGAAGATCTGTGAATGGAAAAAATCACAGGCACATGCACAAATTCAAGTGCATGAAAATGAGCACGCATCCAGATAGTTTTGTAAGCTATATACAGGAATGTTTAGTTTTCTTAGGCCAAGACAACTCAGATGCATAATTACACAACAGTGAATGCCATACAAGTATGAGCTTCTAACTATAAGCATTATGAGCAGTTCACTAAATATTCACTTCAAATAAGCCATCAGCAACATACTGAATAATCAATGTTTCATAACATGAAAAGCAAATCAAGTTATTCCACTTTAGGAGAGATTATACCTAAAGTAGTACAGATAAAATTCACCAACGCAATCAGATCGATCATTCAAAAGTGCGGTAGTACCAATTAATAACACAGTAATTTCATACCATGAAGTAGCGAAGCCAATGTCTTCAAAGAGGAGATCACGCCCTGATTGCAAGCACTAGGAAGCTTCAAAAGTACGGAGCACACTAATTGCACTCCGCCGTTCCTGGTAGCAATAGCCACATTACCCGATCCTTTATCAGTGCACGAATCATTCAACCTATCCAACAATTCCACAATTTCCTTCAGAACACCATCGTTTTCGACTGAACTAGCCAACTCGAGATCCAACTGCTTCAGTCTCTCGATCGTTTGAATAACCGGATTGTCATTCACGGAACTCACTCCCGGGACGCAAGTCACTATGCCTATCGGATAGAAAAGGAGCTGTTATGGAATTTGTATCGCTTCGTTGGGGATAGTAAGAGGGAGAAAGTAAAATACCGGAGAGATCGACGCCTTGGAGGGTTAGTGTTTGGATTGCGTCTTCGAGAGCTTCGGTTGCGTCCATTCCGAGGTCCTCAATGTTCTCCTTCACCATTTCATCGAACGCTTCCTGTGATACCGTTCGCACCGCCTTCGGTGGTCCCATTTTCGCTGTCGTTGCCGGAGCCGCCCGCTACAACCGCTACCGTGAACACTGAACAGAGAGTAAGAGAGGGAAGACTGCAGATAGTGCGGGAGATCTTTGAAAATTACTCGTAATATACTGGCCATGGGCTTCTCTAAAACAACTCGGCCCAAACATTTGAAAGTTGGAGAAAACTAAGAATTAATCACAACTATACATCTGGAAAAATTAAACGCATCAGATCAAATTTTTTATAAAAATGCGGTGTCAATTTCATAATTATCACCAATTTTACTATGCAAACATGAACACTAAAATCTGTAATTTTTAGACTTTTTCAGATTTGCACATTTAGTATTAACGTTTTGCACATTTAGTATTAACATTTTGCATATTTAGCATTAAAAATTTGTACTCGCAAAAATGCGAATGTACATTGCATTTAGGGTTTCGATTTTTGAATTTTATGACTGAGTTTTTAATTTTATTTGGTCCAGTAATTCACTTTTTATTGCTTAAGGTCTAACATTTATGTTTAGATTTAAAATTTAACCTTTTCGTTGATTTTATAGAATTTATAATGTTTGCATATTTAGTTGTTAAAGATTTATGTTTGGGAATTCCTCTATTCAATCATTTTCCTTGTTCTTGTTGCTGGATATCTCGTTTTTATACATTTTTTCTTTGTTTTCCATACCTTTAGTGAGTTACTGATAGAGTTCGAAAATGTCAAATCTTTGATGATTGTCTCATCAATGATTGAAATTGAGTTGTGAAAACTTATAGATAAGTATCTTATGACTGAACTAAGAGACATCTAAGTCATACAAGTAAAGAAATCTATTCATTGATAAGGAAAAAAAAAAAAAAAAAACGTAAACGGGAATTGGATTGATGATAAAATAGAATCTTGGGCCGCGAACAATGATTCGATTCATGAGGAAGAAAGAAAATTCTTGGTTTAGCACTCCGCCTTAACGACAGAAAAAAAAAAAAATTCTATTGAGTCTGGCTCATAGTGATCATTTTTCAAAGAATAACTCCGGTTATCAAATAATTGAACAATCGGGCACAATTTACTTACCATACTTGGTTGACGATAATTATGAAAACTATTATTGTCTCTCTTTTTTTTTTTAATTTGATTAGATCTATCAAATTTTTATAGATATAAGACTGATATTAATTCTTATTTTTTTCATGTGGAAATTTTCTCGCATGATCCATAGATTATATATATATATGTATATATATACACTGGTATTACGCAATAAAACTGTCATAACTACGTCAGATTCACGGCTATTATAATTTATAACTTTGAAGCTACCTTCGTGCTGTGTGGAAAACGCGACATTATGCTCCTAATTATGGAATTACCTTGTTTGACCAAACTTTTATAGTTGGGCAATTGTTGCTTCACTTTTTGCTGTAGCAGAAAGTAAACAATTCTGTCCCGAAATAGATGATCCTAAAGTATTACTCCGTATTATTATTGTACAAGAAAGTTGTGAGCTCAATTATTATCCACACTTGTGATCTTCCTTTCCCTCGTCACCCAAAGCTGAATTTCGTTCCTAAACACACTAAAATGTGAACTTCAGATGAAAGCTCATTTTGTGACTCTAACCAATAATAATGATCGACTACAAAGCAATAAAACATGCATGTTATATTATTTATAATTGATCAGTTCAAATCAAATAAAATACTCCATAATATACAACTTACCCAATCACGTATCCCACTAACTTGATTGGGTTGTCAACTCTACTCTCTTTTAAAAAAATTAAAAATTAAAAATTAAAGGCGCTACTACGGTAATTTCATGCCATTCTTTTACTGCCATGCTCTGGATACAGAAATGATTTCTGATAACATTATTATTCGCATGAATGCCAACTCTCGATTTGCACGGGCAGAAAGGCAACAACAATGGCCGCCTCTTAATCCTCCGATCCATCAAAACTATCGTTGGTGGAACTGCAGGCATGCAAAAACGCCCCATTCTATACTAACAAGTAACAACACATTGTTGTATAGGAATAAATGTAATATATTTCATTAATTTTTATGAAAATTAATTAAACTCGTAATTTTTAATTTATGTCCACAAAATCATATCTGTACATAATAAATTGTGAGAACAACCTATATATTATGCATCTATCTCAATTTCAATCTGGCTAGTATACATATCATTCAACCCTAAAAGCTTCCCTAATAACATTCATCATCATAATAAGTATTAAAATACATGAATGTTTATTATTATATTTATGTAACGATTATGGATGTGGTAGTTAAACACTAGGAAGCTAGCAGTATTTAAGGATTGATGAAGCAACGTAAATGCATTCGTTAAGCATAACTAACTACTGGTATAAGCATAGATTAGGGGAAAGCAAGATTATTGATGATGTTTGATGTAATAGTGGTCAAGATTGATATCCCATTTTCAAGGACAACTTGATTATACAAACCCAAAAAGATAAAAGGGAGAAAGGCCGTGTGTTCCTTTAAAATGGAATATAATTAGTGGGGAACCCACTCATTTTGATACAGACATACACAATCATTAACCATATACATTTTCCTCCATTTACCAATATATATATTTATATTAATGTGTAGCTATTAGCTAATTGTTTAGCATTTATATAGTTGATTTTGTATATGAGACTTCATAACTTAATTTAATTTATTTTTTGTCACTACAAAAACTCGCATGTAATTACTAACCGATCCTATACATTAATTAGGTAAATCTCGTACTTTGTCTATAATAGTTTGCAAACTATACACGATAGGTAAATCGTACTAAAAAGGTCTTGTGTAACGGACTCGAATCAAACTCATAACATTTATATATGAGAATCACGTTTTCTTAGTCTGGTCATCTCTTTTGTATAGTTATGTAATACTTATTATTACTTAATAGTATGGTAGTGTTTATTATTATATCTATTTTAGTTAAAGCGCGCAAATTTCACCACTTCAAATGAGATATTTAACATTTTTTCTTTTTTGGTGCAATGAAAATGGACCATTACTCAACAGATAATGGGTGTATAGTAGGGGTGGGAATAGGCCAGGCCCCTTGTAGGGGCCTATGTCATGGCCTAATTAAAGCCTAGTTAGGCCTAGCTCGTTTAGTAAAAAGGCCAGGCTTGAGCCAATTTCAAAGCCTATTAAACTAAACAGGCCAGGCCTATATATACCAGGCTCGGCCTTCAGGCCTACAGGCCTGGCCTATATATATATATATATATATATATATATATATATATATATAGGCCAGTATATATTATTTAGATATACTAAAGTTTTTAAAAAGTCTTAACATGTAGGCTTTAATAGGCTAGGGTAGGACATACTTTGAAGCCCTTTTTAATGACCTAAATATTAAACAGGCTTTAAAAAGGCTTCAGGCCAGGCCAGACTAATTGCAGGCTCAGGCTTGAGCCTAACAAAAAGCCTACATACAGGCTCAGGCCCAGGCCTAGGCTTTAGATTTTCGTAACAGGCCCAGGCCTAATTTTCCAAAGCTCGGCTCGGCTCGGCCTATTTCCACCCCTAGTGTATAGTATACGAAATCTAATGTTGGTTTAATTAATGTTTTGCATGTAAAGTCATAGTACACCATCGACGACCACAGCAACCAACATTAATGCATGTTACATTGTTATCACTACTCTTTATACTATCATCAAATTGTGCCAATTAGTTGGTGGTTAGGTTTGGTTTGTCATATGATCCCGTCCTTTGCATACATGTCCGATTATAATTTTGATTAATATTCGGCATAAGTGCTACATACAAAATTACAAATTCATTTAAACATAATAATAATGATTATTCTTTAAAAAAAATTATAATTTATGCCCCTCACAAATATGTCAATTACCAATGTTATCCCTAAATTATTAGTGGTATAAATATTGCCAATTAATTTTCAAAACGTGACAACATTAAAATTTATTAAAATTCTGCCAAAAAATGATAAATTTCACAAAAATTCATTATCATCTTATCAACGTACATATTATATATTTTAACCTTTAATATATATATATATATATATATATATATATATATATATATATATAACAATTTTATGGCTACCAAAATAATATTAAAAAAAGTTGTCAATTTCATCTAGAAGTGCATGTGTTTGTGCGATGCCGTCAATTAGAATATGATTTCAAAGACTTAATTGCCGGTATAATCATTCTAAGAATTGGAAATGCAATTAAATTTGGCTAAGCTGGACAAGTTAAATGCCTCGACCAAACCCCATATTAGAGAAATATCAACAATAGCATTAAAAGCATATACACAGGCACATTTAAGTACCCAATTAAGTCTACGTATGTACATATTTGTAGGCATGCAGTCTCATATACATGATCAATACGTTTACCTACCAAATTCGTATCGCTAGCTAACTACATTAAAACCCTTTTTAAAGGCATTTAAAATATCCTTTAAGATTAAAATGACCTGTTCAAACAAGTCTATCTAGTTAGATTATCATGAATTGCTCGTGAACCGTTTGATCAAAACTTTATCATGTTAAAAATGGATGCACCCCTTCTCTATCAAGACTTGGCACTTCAAAACCATCCGGATTGCATTATTGTGAATGATGATAACAATAACAATAACAATAACAACAACAACAACAACAATAATAATAATAATAATTGACCAAGAACCTTGTGGTTCATTGGTACCAAATTGCTCCCTTATGTGGGAGATTATAGGTTTGAGTCTTAGTCCGTGAACTATATATGAAGTGGAAAATAAATTACTAAAAATATCAATTCCATTAATAAAGACAATTAACTATATATGAAGTGGAAAATAAATTACTAAAAATATCAATTCCATTAATAAAGACAATTATATCCCTATATGGGTTCGAGCCTTAGTTCGCGAACTATATATGAAGTGGAAAATAAATTACTAAAAATATCAATTCCATTAATAAAGACAATTATATCCCTACATAATAATAATAATGGTAATTAAGAAAAGTTAGCGATGACATAATTGTCCTACTTGTTTTCCTCATTTTTGAGGAAAATGTTTTCCATGAACTAAACAAAGGAAAATATAATTTTCCTCAAATTCAGGAAAACATTTTCCTTGGAAAACATTTTTCATGAGCCAATCATGCCCTTAAATATGCAAACTTGGATACTTTTTTTTTAAGCTAAATTTTAAATCTTAATCGTAAATGCTAGACACTAAATAGTAAAAAGTGAACCACTAAACCAAATAAAACAAAAAACTTAGTCATAAACTCGAAAATTCGTATTTTTGCAAGTGCAATCTTTTTATACTAAATGTACAAAATGTTAATACTCAATATGCAAACCTGATAAATTATGAGAAGTACATATTTTAGTGTTCAAGTTTGTATAATAAAGTTAATAATAATTACACAAATATTACCGCACAACTACACGAGAAGCTATACCCGCACATCAACCCTACCCTATATATAAAACTTTGCTATAAGTAGGTAGTATATCCCTTTTGGTGGTCTATTTTAGTGTGCGACGTAATAAATGATCTCATATGCATCTGATTTCCTCCAACGATTTTGTGGTCCTAAATTTTTTGCAATAGATAGATCACTACAAGACAGCAAAATTGACGGCAAACAAAAACCATATTATTATTATTATTAAATATTGTAATGTAAGATCTAGCTGCTAACTTTTCTGTTAAATTACTTTCTCTTTTTAAATTATAATTGTGATCATCAACATATTCTATGATTGATACTTAATAATTCTTTTAATTTCTTGTAATTTTGTACACTAGCTAGTATGTAGTGGAGTAGGTTGCCCATTCCTACATCACCGTCATTAAACAAAATTTGGGAATATAAACCTCTAAAATGTATAATTATGCATGGTATCAAATTTATCGTCTTCCTAACAAAACAAACAATAAAAATATATAAACGGGGGAAGAAGGAGAAGACAACAATAAAAAGAAAAAGCAAACATAGTATTTTATAAACCTTGTCTTTCTAGAATTCTAGAGGGGATATTATATTAGGAGTGGACTTAAAAGCAATATGAATCATGCCATTGCATGTTTATTTCTTAAAATTACATTAATATCTTTCCCCAAAAAATTACATTAATATCTAATACAACTTATGCATGCACTAAAATATCTATTTTATAACGATTGCATCTCAATCTCGAAAGTTCTCATTGCTCGCATCTTAAAATTTAGTGGATAAGATAAATCACATAATATGTCTTAATCATCAACAATAATTGCAAGTAATAAAGCTAAGCTATGCCATGTAGATATTATTTATTACTCATCTTTTACCAATTTTGAGTTTTAACTAAATACAAGAACATATATATTTAAAATAAAAGCAAAATGCTTAATACGGTGACAATATGCGAAGAAAGTAATATTTCTCTTAATAAATAATGCGATAATAATTTATCTTTTGCATTGACATGAATACATGATTAATCGGATTAGCGTATATGGTATAATGATATTATTACATTATTCCATTCATCCACCTTCTACATAGTCACACTCATTGATGTAAAAAAATAAATAAAAATTCTATGGCATCATTGTCAGCTCTATTTAGAAAGTTCGTACCCCATAAGACAATATATAGGTAAAGTCGAGGTTTCATTACAATAATAAAATTTACACAATTTATAATGTTGTACATGTAACATAATGTTATAGTCAATATGTTTTTGTTGTTGTTGTTGTTGTTGTTGTTGTTGTTGTTGTTGTGTGTGTGTGTGTGTTTTTTTTTTTTTTTTTTTTTTTGTGAGAAAAATAGAAACTGTTACCCAATGGTGTGTATAAGTTAAACTATGTTTTTATTTTATTTTGTGATGAAAAATTCCATTATTATTATTATTTAAGTGTGTGCAGAAAATAAACTCTATTCTGTTACGTACTCTTTTAAAGCAATTTCATCAATTGTAATTTTTTAAAAGTTGTTGTCATACCAGTGATACCACATAAGAGGAGATGAGAAGAAAAAGAGAGAGAGAGAGAGAAGGACTCTCATAAAAAATTACTCCGTATTATTAATGAACCCATTAGGGGCAAAATTGGTATGCAAAATGTGCACCAATGTGATTTTTTTTTTTTTTTTTTTTTTTGCAAGACCCACAAAAAACATGTTTTACCTTCTTTTTTTTTTTTTTTTCATCATCTCTCCTCCAACTCAATCCCTATCTCCTCTATACATGTATGCCAAAAAAAAAAAAAAAAAACAAAAAAAAAAAAAAACAAACACTTCAAAAAACTCTTAATGGTGATGCTTGTATAGTAGTATTTTTTCTTTTTCTTCCTCCCACTCGATTTCTTCATTTCGATTCCGACCAACCTTTTATTTTTTTGGAACTATACAACATAGGAGTTGCTAGTTTGCAACATTCGTTTTTTTTTTTTTTTAAGAAAGATTTATGATTGAATGGTCATTAGCATGTTTCATTTAGCTTAGTACATTAGTTATTACCACAACATCACTATTTACAAATTACTCCGTACTTTTTAAGAGTAATGTTAGGTATCCCTCTTCAAATCATCCCTCCCCATTTCTTCACTTAAAGTGGCACCATATAATAAGACTATTTAATATTTAATTAAAAGTGTATGGGGCCAACCATCACCCAATAAATATAAGTCATATTATAAAAAAAATTTAGATGAAGTAAATAATTTTTTTTTTTAAATCAAGCTAATATAACTAAAATATACGAATGAGAAGGGGAACCATGAAACCCCACCTTATCAAGCGAAAAAAATTTTCCTAACATCTACCCATTTAATTTTCCAATCAAATATTATACAATTCTCAATATTAAACTACAAAAATGTAATTTCAATCAATAAAGATTAATTAAATATTATTTTTTAACTTTAAAATGCATAAATTTATATTGAACTATACACACTTTAAAAAAAAAAATATAATACCGAGAAAGGGACGGAGTTTCTCTACCCCACTCCTACCTTTATCCTAATTCTTGAGAATTGTATTTATAATTTGTCCGGTTGAGTTGAGTTTATTGTTTGGTCTACTAAAATGTTTTTTTTTTAAATAAATTTAAATAAAAAAAATATATGGTAGAATTGGAAGAAAGAAAAGTATAAGACGTTGAAAGGCAACAACATGACGAAAACACTGAAATGAAAATAGAAGCGAAAAAGGGAAAGAAGGTGCACATGATCGGGGAAGTCATGACTACACGGAATCGGTTTCGTCATCGTAGGAGTAAATTGGTATAGCTAAAGCACGTGGAAAACACGTGACCGTAGGAATAGCAAGGCGCAGCGTAGTAGATCTGTCTCCATCAACCCATCTACGCCACCTCCACCGTATACACAGTCTGACAGTATAAATCTATACATACAACAAAAGTGTGTACATATAAATCTCCAATACATCTCTGATAAAAGCTTCCGTCTCGTCTTTTTCCACCCTTCTTTTTCCCATTATTACTCTTCCACCACATCTCTCTTCTTCTTCTTCTTCTTCTTCTTCTTCTTCTTTAGTTTTCTGAAATCGGTTGGAATAACCGTGCAGGCATTGTTGAAGAATTTGCCAAATATGAGAGTGAAATGAAAGTGTGAAGCTTTTTTTTTTGCTTAGGATTTTACAAGTTTTCGCCATGGGAGCTTGCACCTCAAAATCTAACAAGCCCAATCCTTATACACTCCGCGAAACCCTAGAAGCGCCGCAAGTTCCCGAAACTCCTGCCAACAACGCCGCCGCAGCTGCCGACGCGGGGAAGAAGTCTCCCTTCTTTCCGTTCTACAGTCCCAGCCCCGCGCACTATTTATTTTCTAAGAAATCTCCGGCGAAGACCGCGAAGAGCGCTGGCTCTACGCCCGGGAGGTTGTTCAAGCGGCCTTTCCCGCCGCCGTCGCCGGCGAAGCATATTAAGTCGTTGCTTTTGCGGCGGCATGGGAGTGTGAAGCCGAACGCGGCGGCGATCCCCGAGGGCGAGGAGGCGGAAGGAGCGGATTTGGACAAGAGTTTTGGATTCTCAAAACAGTTTACTAGTCGGTACGAGATCGGGGAGGAAGTTGGGCGAGGGCATTTTGGTTATACTTCCTCTGCTACGGGTAAAAAGGGTGAACTTAAGGGTCAACGAGTCGCTGTGAAGGTCATCCCTAAGTCCAAGGTCTCTCTCTTCATACTCAAAATCTCTGTATATATGAAAGCTCGAAACTATTCTTACAGAATTGCGTACAGTTTAGTTCTCATATAATCATTGATTTAATTCTTTGAAGCTCTAGAGATTAGAAAGTTATCTCATTTTAATCTTCTGGCTTGAATTGTCTAATACCCCGTTTGAATTTTCCTTTTGGGTTGGCGGGCGGAGGTTTGATTCATTGAACCATGATTGATCAAAAGGAAGACGGTCTCCTTTTTCTTTTAGGATTCGTTCTTATGATATCATTGTTATTGTGGATCTGCCGAATTAAAGAACGTTGAATATTCCCACCAGCTGGTCTAGGAACTCACGCTGCCATTTTTTAAAAAATGATTGATCATTACAAGGAAAAATTGCATTTTTGGTACTTCATTTATGTCCGTGGTACAAACTTAGTTCATGAGTTATAGGGGTGAATTTAGTCCCTCGTGACTATTTTTACCACCAATTTGTCACTTAATAAAGTGGCTGATTTGGTCCTTTTAAGTACTAAAATTGCTCCTCCATGCATAATTTAGGGGTTGAAAGATAGTCACGCATATAATTCAGAGACTAAGTTTGTACCACTAGAGGACTAAAAATGCAACTTTTCCTTGTTATAATATAGTGCTAGTTGAAAATTGATTGGTGCAGTGGAAATGGGGCATGAAAATTCAAAATGAGATTTTGCCTATAAAAAACTAAAATATATGAAGGAGATCATCGAGTAATTTGTGAGTGGCCTCCAAAGTTGGAGCCAAATGCATTTTGAAGCTGCTTTTCATGCATAAAGAGAAGTAGCTTGCTGGCTTGACTTGATAGATTAAACTTGAAAGACCTCTTCTTTGCTTGAATTGCCTACTGGCAGGCAATGGTTTCCTCGAGGAGGATTTGGAATTTCAGGGTGGTGATTTTGTTTTGCAAATTGCACCACTTTAAATTTTAAAATGAATTAGTATGAACTAGATTGAGTAGAAAAGAGATCCCCTAGTTATCTACTGAATAATATATGCGGTGAGCTTAAGATTCAATAAAGTAACGGAACCCTATCTTACTCTAATTTTGTTGCTCACCAGATGACAACAGCTATTGCAATTGAGGACGTGAGGAGGGAAGTAAAAATATTGCGAGCCTTGACAGGACATAGCAATCTTGTGCGGTTTTATGAAGCATTTGAAGATCAAGACAACGTCTATATCGTAATGGAGTAAGAATGTCGCATTCCATTTAATATCAGATTCTATTTTCTCTTATCATGAGATATATGATAAGAATTTTGTGTTTAGGCAAGAACTTGGCTTGTTTTTAACCAGCAAGGACTAATCTGATCTTCACCACACATTTTTCAGGTTGTGCCTTGGTGGAGAGCTCCTAGATAGGATACTTGCAAGGTATTACTTTGGCCGGTGTTTAACTTTGATCTCATAATATGTATTTTTTTCATTCTTTTCTTAAGCGCTTAACTTGTTTGATAGGGGTGGAAAATACTCTGAAGATGATGCAAGGGCCGTTATGATACAAATATTAAATGTTGTTGCATTTTGTCATTCACAAGGTGTGGTGCACCGTGATCTTAAACCTGAGGTAAAAACTGCAGTTAACCCCTGAATGCACCATATGTTGCTATGCAAATATTGAAGAAATATTAATTCTACTTAATTATTTGTATCTTTATCTCTTGTCAGAATTTTCTGTTTTCTTCCAAGGATGAAAGTTCGCAGTTGAAAGCTATAGATTTTGGTTTATCAGATTTTGTCAGGCCGGGTTAGTTTTTTTTTTTTTTTTTTTTTTTTGGCACGGGTTTGAGTAATCTTATTTCTTTGTTGTACGTTTCTGTTGGCCAATATACTAATACGTCTGATATTTATTATCGTTTGCAGATGAAAAGCTTAATGATATTGTTGGCAGTGCCTACTATGTTGCACCCGAAGTTCTACAGAGATCATATGGTACAGAGGCTGATGTATGGAGTGTAGGCGTGATAGCATACATTCTTTTATGTGGTAGTCGTCCATTTTGGGCCCGAACTGAATCTGGAATATTTCGAGCAGTCCTAAAGACTGACCCCAGTTTTGATGAAGGGCCTTGGCCTTCATTATCTTCAGAGGCTAAAGACTTTGTCAAGCGGCTGCTAAATAAGGATCCCCGCAAAAGAATGTCAGCTGCTCAAGCGTTATGTAAGTTTTTGTTTTCCTCCAATACGTTTTGAATTTTCCTATGCCATTCATAATCTTTAGTTTTTCAGGTCATCCTTGGATCCGGAATCACAGTGATGTGAAAGTGCCCCTCGATATTCTCGTGTTCAAACTCATGAAGAGCTATATGCGATCTTCATCTTTGCGTAAGGCTGCAATGAGGGTGCGTATTGATCTACTCAAGTATTAGCAGAACTAAATTGATCCCGAGTGTATAAATTATTTCCGTGTGATTCTAAACGCTTTTCCTTGCACCTTTGCAGGCATTGTCTAAAACATTAACAGAAGATGAGCTATTCTATCTGAGGGAGCAATTTGCTTTATTGGAGCCAGACAAAAATGGCAGTATAAAATTGGATAATGTTAAAACAGTATGTACTTCCTAGTTCCTATCCACATCCTTCTCTCTTTCCATAACAAGGAAAATTTTGTCTTATTATTTTCCTTTAAGCAGGCTATGATGAAAATTGCCACGAACGCTATGAAGGAATCGCGTGTACCTGATTTTCTTGCTGCGGTAGGTCATAGTTGCCTTTTGTGGTTGGCAATGTGTTTTAAGTTACTATGAATAACTCCCTTTCAATTGTATTGTGACAGCTAAATGCGCTTCAATACAGAAGAATGGAATTTGAAGAATTCTGTGCAGCAGCACTTAGTGTCCATCAGTTAGAGGCTCTCGAACGCTGGGAGCAACATGCTCGCTGTGCATATGAAATTTTCGAGAAAGATGGAAACAGGGCGATTATGATTGAAGAACTAGCATCGGTAAGTTGAAGTTTCCCCATCATTTCTTCCTTCTCCCAAAAGGTTGAATCCCCCCACACCCCAAATTCCGGTACGCACAAAGGATCTGTCCACTTTGGACATAATCCTACACTGTTACAGCCAAAGTTCGAACCTTGGTCCCTTCTCCCAAATACTGTCTATTGAACCATTGAGCTAAGCTCGTGTGGGTCCATCATTTCTTCCTGTCAAGTCAAATATTTGCACAAAAGATTCCTTAGATCCATTTTGGCGTGGTCCATATGCAAGAGAAACAAACAAATAGATGCTTAATTTCATTTTCAGGAACTTGGGCTAAGTCCTTCGGTGCCAGTTCACGCCGTTCTCCAGGACTGGATAAGGCATACTGATGGAAAGCTAAGTTTCCTTGGATTTGTCAAACTGTTGCATGGTCCCTCCACCAGAACACTTGTCAAAGTGCAGTAAAGCAGTTGAAGCATGCATGCTTCAAAAAGGAATGAACTCACTCCCACCCACAGTTGAGATAACAGAGTTTTGATCAAGTTGATTATATATTGTTTACTCTTAACCGCGGGATTCTTAGAACATAATAGTGTATCTATCCACCAGGGTGACCACTGGGTGGAGAGTTTTCAATGGTGTGCAATAGCTGTGGTAGAATCTATTGAAAGCTCCCTTTTCATGGTTTATATTCTTTATTTTTTTTCTCCTTTTCTTTTTCCATTGATAATCAGAGGGTTTGTTGTGATCTTTTAGTAGATGGGGTATGTGTTAACAGAGCATCTCCTTAATGGTAGAAATCACTAGGGTGTGTCTATAGGACTCAATTGTGATTGTATTTGGAATCTGGATTATATGTATAGAAGCAATGGAATTACTGTTGAAACATTGTTGGCAACAATGCCTCTTGCCCCCCCAACTATCTCCTTATGAAAGCATTGCAAACATTACTAGGATGCCCCATCAAATTGTAAACCATCTAAAGATTAAGTCTTGTGTGAGATCGTTTCAGATAACACTTTATTGCTATTCTAGATAATGACAGTATGAACTCTCAAACTGAAATGAAAAAAGAGCTGATATGATTTGAGGATTGAATCACAAACATCCCTCTAAAACTTGGGTTATGTATTCTCATTTAAAGAGAAAAGCAGCTAGCAAGATTCATACATAATAACAAGTAAATTATTCAAAGTGCACATGAAAGAAGCAACAAAACTTCTCCTGTGGGAAACAATAGTTTCATCATCATGTTTACGTTGTAGAATCGACGAAACAATTGAATGCAATACATGGAAGTTTTGTTCGAATGGCAAATATCAGCTACAGGGCAAATAAGTTTAAACTACAAAGAGAATCTACACTTACATCATTGCATGGCTGATGATCCTGCTCCTTCTCCCTTCGTTTAAAATCCTCCTATCTGGAAGAGAGCTGTTGATACAGCTCATCAGCCAATGCCTGCCTCATGCTTTCGCCATAATAATGGAAAGACTTCTCGTTCTCTAACACCCGTGGTGATGATCCATTCTCGTCTGGTTCCTTCCAGAGCTCCGGCTCAGGCTCCCTCGCGATCTGGCATAAGTTATGCAAAACGCAACAGGCAACAATTGTTTGAGGTGCATGAGTTAGACCCACATTCAAGTTCTGAAGAATCTTCCACCTTCCCTTCAACAAACCAATGGCTTCCTCAACCATCTTTCTACCCTTCATCAGTGCTTCATCGAATGCATTCTGAGCAGGAGTTCCAGTCCTGTTCCACGAAAACGGAGTGAGCAGAAACGACAGCAATGGGAAACCCCAGTCTCCAACAATGTAAGGCCTAACATGCTGTCCCCTCACATTGATCACCTTGTCCCAAACAATGTCCCCCGAAATCAACCTATTATACAACAAGCTATCCCTAAAATGAGTAGCGTCATCAAACCCGCCAGGAGATTTCACACAAACATCCCAGAAGATTTTCTTGTGGTCAGCAACAACCTGAAGCAAAATCGAAGGGAACCCATAGCGGCAGTAGTACATGGAAGAGTTAATCGTGTCTGAGGGGAGATGATGGAGTCTCACGGGGGTTCCATCAATGGCCCCACAAACGTTAGGCAGTAAGGTGAGCTCTTGAAAGCCCTGAGTGGTTTCCACCAGCCGGCGGCGACTCACAGGGATCTTGATGAACTCAGGGTAGAGCTTAGTGGCCAAGAGCCGAGTGACCATGTTGGTAATTTTGGAAATTAGGTAAGGCTCGAGCCCGTAACGAGAAGCTAGGGTTTTAGCCGAGAGGCCGTGGGATAATCTAGAAAGAACCATAGCCACAGCGTAATCAGAAGGGAGAGAGAGCTGGGACTGAGTGATGTAGGGTTTGAGCTTATCAACAACAGTGGTAAACACCGGGTAAGAGAGACCATAGAGAGATCGCCACTGGGCGTCACGGAGAGGGGCTTCCATCGCCCATATGTGCTCCGTCGATAGGGCACGGAACGCGGCGACGGAGAATTCCGCGGCGGAAGGGGACGAAGGATTATTGGAATTAGAGGTTTTGGGCTTCTTCTTAGGCGGGTGGGAAGCGATGTAGGAGAGAACGGAAGCTATGGTGAAGAAGAGAAGAGGCGCGGCGGAGGTGGAGGTGAGGAGTGAGGTAGGAGAGGAGGGGGAGGCGGCGGAGGAGGCGGAGTCCGAGAGGACGGAGGTGGCGGGATCGAGGTGGTTATGGAGGTGGAGTAGATTTGAGAGCATAAGCATGAATGACTGATCCATCTCTCTCTCCCTTGCTCCCAATTAGCTTTCGGCTGAAGAGAGAAGTAGAAATGGGTGGTTTTGGTTTCCCGACGGCGGTTGCGCCTTTCTCCGGTGGGCAATTGGAGATTATAAAACGACGACGTATAACCGGCGTACACTAATTATCAAAATGCAATAGTGCCCCCTAAAGTCCCACTTTTTATACATTTCACCCCATAAAGTTTAATTCTAAACACAATCGGTCTCAAAACTTATCAATTTCAGGCCACAAAGTAGGAATAAACCCTATTTGGTAATATAGTTAGCATATCAATCAATTTTGGCTTATTTGATCACTATAAATTGTTTGACTTGGTTTAACAATTAAAACGAGTGTTTGATTAATTAACTTTTTGTAACAACTTATTGCTCCAAAATATTAAAATTTTAAAAGTTGTTTAAAGTAGATTTTTCGATCAATTTTTTGAGAAAATCATTTTATATGTAATCAGCTAACAACTAATTTACCAAACACTTTTCTATAATCATCTACTGATATTAACTAGTCAAACTTACTAACTCAATCAGCTAACAGTAATTTACCAAATTAAACACCCAAAATGATTTTGGCTTGTTAGTTAACTCAAGGTTACTAAATCAAGTACGCAAATAAGTTACAATAAAGACCTATAAGTTACATAGACTATAGTATATAAATGCACTTGATATAGGATGTAAATCATGGTGACTCAATAGTTCAGCGCATAAGGAATCTATCTATTTTAGGCATAATTTTCATACTGCGGTCCAAATACTGCTTACTGAATTATTGAGTTAAGCCTCTGCGGGTAACATAGTATTAATCATCTGAGTGTTTATGAGACTAAGATCTCGAAGTTAAGTATTTAATTTGGGATGAAAATGATTGAAATATTTTATAACAAATACTATTTTATAGAGAATCATAAGTGTTTAAAACAAAATCTCAAAGTTAAGCATTTACTAATGTAATAATATAATTGGTGAAAGTTAATTTTGAGTTGTACACTAAAAAAAAAATGTATATTTTAAAATGATTATATGTTAGGTAATTAGTTAATTACAATTTACAAGTTAAGAGATTTCTAATTTTCTATATATATCTATACTACTATGACACTTTAATGTGTTGTATTTAATGTTGCTCCATAATATTGTTTAACATGGCCAACATATTAGGCTTTTAGGTTTGGACAGTCCAAACTCCAAATAACTGACTTAATTTGCTATTGTATTGGATTTATTAAGCCAATTAGGCAACTAATCAATGGCAAATTATGTTGTGCATCCGTATGCACCATGCATGGTGCATACGGATGCAAAAACGACGTCGTTTTAATAAAACGCGCGTCTCCTCTTAAAAAAAAATCAGGTTCGATTCCCAGCAACAACATATGAACTAAAATTCCAGAACCGATGAACTATAATTCCATAATCGATGAACTATAATTCCATAATCGATGAACTATAATTTCAGAATCTAATCTATGAACTAAAAATTTCAGAATGAATGAACTAAAATTTCATAATCTATGAACTAAAATTTCAGAATCGATGAACTACAATTCCAGAATCGATGAACTATAATTCCATAATCAATGAACTATAATTCCATAATCTATGAATTAAAATTTCAGAATGAATGAACAATATAATGTTGTTACTGGGAATCGAACCTGAATTTTTTTAAAAAGGGAGACGCGCATTTTTTAATAAAACGACGTCGTTTTGGCATCCGTATGCACCATACATGGTGCATACGGATGCACAGCATAAGTATTGCTAATCAATAGTTATACCATGAACTCAAGTCCACATCACAAGGATGACCCGAATTTAAAAGCACAATTTACATACTAAATATTCATAATTTACTTTTTATAAATTTGTGAACATTCATTATGTAAATTGTATCTTTTGAACTAGGTACACCTTAGATATGTAGAATAATTTGCCGTAACCAATATTCCAAAGACTCGTTTGCCCTTTTATCACATACGGTCATAATGGAATCTTGTTTGGTTTCCTCTGCTTGTACATATGATGTCTATTTTTAACAATAACATTTACATTCGGAAAGACTAAACTATATATTAAAAAAAATCAAATATTGACACGTGCTTTAGTGTTTTTTATTCTTCTTTGGTGGGAGGATGATCTCATAGTTGTTGTGGTTAGTCAACTGTGGGGTTTGGTGGGCTTTTCACTTTTGACATGGTGAACCGTTATCCCATATCTAATGCCCTTTAATTGACGCTCTCAATCATGCTTGGCTGGTATTACATGTATGGTCTCTCAGCTTGTCCTCCACGTGATTTTGACTACTATATGGTCCAATATGACAGAGGCTTCCCAAGGGCAATCACTTAATTAATATCAATTCCAATGACAATAATATTACAACATTGATTATTAATCAAGTCTTTATAACTATTTATGATAAAAACAATTTACTATTTCAATTCGCCTCACAAATACATCGAGCTCAAGACTCTAGATGAATTTAGAAGATAAAATGTAAACCTTACTCATGTGCAATAACTTGCAAATTAAATCACATAAAAAATGTAAATTGTACAACACAAACTTATCGAAATGGTGTTGACAAGAATCAGGTAAACTGCATTCAATTGAGAAGCCGTTGGCAAGAATGAACTTGTGATCATCTTGACCGCCATTTTGAGATAATGTTTTCTTTCTTGAATCTTCCATTCTCAGCCCTAGCTCAACTACAGTATTAAGGATTGTAAAGCATGCAGAGCAATGAGATCGAGCATCACGTACATGTTTGCATGATTTACCAGTTTTAAGGTTCTTGGACGAGGAATTATAATTTTACAAGATTTTTATATATATAAACAACTCTACACTTGACATATAGAAAACTAGAGATTCGATAATATAATATTATTAGGATTTAGGAACGAGGCATGGACACGGAAGCAAAACCTCTACAAGACATTTCATGAACCGCAGGATTGAAGCCCAAGCAACCTAGGAGGCCTTGCTTGTATGGCAAGAATGTCTTCCTCCTCAGCTCCTCCGAGATCGTCCGGTTCATCGTGTAATGCAGCTCGTGAGCCGAAACCGGTCCTCTCCTCCTCGAGATTGACCCGGATCCCTCGCTCTCCATTGTAGACGACCTAAAGCTGGAATACACGT